CGATTCTCAGGACTACTTGGTGTGCCTGTACCATCAGTTCTCCCTGACTGCTTGTGAATGTTGGCGCAGGCAGCATCATTTGGAACAGTGATCTATGGACCGGCTCTACTAAGGCAAGAAGAAGAAGAAGAAGAAGAAGAAGCAGCGCACAAGGTAAGTCCTGAAGTAAGGTGATGTACTGTAATTGCTTTTAAAATGTTAGGGTTTAATAACACTAAGTCATTTTTGCATGCTGACTCCTAAAACAACAGCCATTTGCTAAAACGTTCCAGAAGAATTCAATAAAATTACAATTTCAAAATCAATTGTAAAAGGGACCCATGGAAAGAAAGTGAACGCCACAACTGAAGCCATGACCATTCCACATTTTCTAAATCTCTAGAAGGCAATACGGTCCCAAGATGGCAATACGGTCCCTAGATGGCAATACGGTCCCTAGATGGCAACGGGGTCGCTAGATGGCAACGGGGTCGCTAGATGGCAACGGGGTCGCTAGATGGCAACGGGGTCGCTAGATGGCAACGGGGTCTCCAGAAGGTAATGCTCAAGCACCTTCCTCCTGCATGTCCTCTTAGTTATACAGACTACAAACAAAATACATAATGAAGGGTAGGCCACAATGTATATACACACAGATTGACCTTACATATGACAAACATATGTCAACGGTTCCTAGAAAGTCCCTTGCCTATACACTCGTTAGTCATTAATAGTAGTTAGGCAGAAGGTTGGCTCCATTGTATGAACGTGACAGTTAAACTTTAACCCACATACTGGGGTAGATGGCAATGGGGTCCCTAGATGGCAATGCTCCGGCATCTTCCTCCTGCATGTCCTCATAAGTTACACAGACTGTACCAACAAAATACACAACGAAGGGTAGGCCACAATGTATACACACACACGTTGACCTTACATATGACAAATACATGCATTCGGGTCCTAGAAAGTCCCTTGCCTATACACTCGTTAGTCATGATACGTGGTTAAGCAGAAGGTTGGCTCCATTGTATGAATGTGACAGGTAAACTGTAACCCACATACAGGGGAAAGCTGCACAAAGGACACCGATCTTTAGGTGCCCATACACCTTACAATTATCTGCAGATTTTCTGTGGTCAGATGGAAAAAGTGCAACAGATTGGCCCAGGTGGAGATTACTCCATCCACACAGTTAAAGAACTATGAGGTGAGTGCTTTTCACTCCCCTCATAGTTCTAGCCGACCTGTGACAATGAGACTGTCACAGGTCGGCTCAGTAGATCGGGAAGTGAGCGGACACATACCGGCGTTCGTTCACCTCTCGATCCTGTCACGGCTCTCAGGCCGTGACAGGGGAGGGGCTGGATTCCCCGCTCCGCCAGCGCTGACTGGCGGAACGGATGGGGGAGGGGACGGGTACAGCTGGCTCTGCCTCAAGATAGGCAGAGCCAGCTGTCACTCACGCAGCTGGGCGGATCCAGACATAATTGTCGGGATCCGCTTCAGCTGTGGCGTCTCAGTATACCGCGAGCTGTAGCTCGCGGTATACTGAGCCTAGGGTGACGGGGGGACGCTAGTTTGTGTCCTCCTGTTACCCTAAGGAAAACTATGGGGAAAAGCCCTGACCCCATAGTTCTCCTTTAAGTGTAGATGGAGGAATCTGTTGCACCTTTTCCATCTGACCACAGACAACCTGCAGATAATTGTAAGGTGTATGGGCAGCTTTTAGATCACAATAGGAAAGCGACAAGTGGAAAGGATGTACAGGTGAGAAATTCCAGGTCACAAAGCACTAAAATAATGGAGAGAGAGATATATAGAGGAAGAGGCAGTAAATCAGGGGTGGTCTAACCAGACATATAGCTTATTCATGGACATCTGATAAAGCAAAGCACATAAACATGTAGACTTCAGAGACAGTCATCCAACATGATACAGATATATCTGCTCTACCTCCCGGACATGAGCGAGTGTATCAGTTGAAGAGACACGTTAGATTATGTGTGACATCTATGGTGAAAAACTACAAATACATCTTTATTGCTATATAGAATTTCCATACGTTCAATCCCACTCCTAATAACCAGATCCATCTAGAAATGTCTTAACTTCCATATTAAAGATGCCCATAGGATGAACTTCCTCAATGCACTGACACAATGTCACTCAGCGCTGTGCATATTAGGGCTGCAACAACTAATCGACATAATCGATTATTGAAAAAGTTGTCTCATATGCACTTCATTGTGTCATAACTCTCAGAGCCTTCCTTCTGAACAATGTAACATTATAATTGCTTGCTGGAAGCAGTGCATGATGGGATATGTAGTCTTGAGAAATGGAGATTACATCATATCAAGCAGCAGGGAAAGAGATGCAAAGCACACTGGAAATCCAGGAAGTTGATGAAAGTGATGGCCGGACAGGAAACAGCACCCGCTACATAAAAGGGATTTTTCAAGCAAGCTTTGTTGTATTATCACAAACTATTATAGTATGTATTCCTATTGCCTCCCCCTCCCCCTGGAGATTTTGCAGTTTATAGATGAGATTTTTCAGGAAGGCACTGGTGATGTAGCCTTCCCAGAATGCATCTGTGAGGCCAGGGCTACATCACCAGTGCCCTAAACCAGGAAGTAAAACAAACAGTAACTGTAAGTAACAATAATTAATGTTAGATGATTTGGTATCAGCATGTGGAGCCGCATGGTGATGTGCTTTTTAGTAAAAGGGGGGGGGGGGGGTCCGCTTCAACTGCTCCCTCTGGCTCCTGACTTTAGCTCGGGTTTGTAAAATTTTGATCACCCGGTTTACTCTGAGGTCACCAACACGGATTGTAGAAACATCTGAACTGACACTGTCAAGATGCGTGGGGTTCCAAAACACAAACTGAAGTCTTCATCTGAAGTCACATGCACATGGGGGCTGCATAACTTTCATGTTGGGGTGCATCTGCTCCTGGTCACTTTACAGATATTCTACACCAAACGCTCATGTGCGTTTCAGTGTTTAACATGGCAGTGTGCACTTGCATTACTTTTCACATGGATTCAACCACACAGCCCAAGACTGCTGCCTTCTGCTTGGAGCCATCTTGACCTTCCAGACGTTCTGGCCTGGTATCTCCCTCACACAGCAGACCAGGACAGATAAGGAAGCTAAAAAAAGACACAGACCAGCGGCAGCTACATAATGAATTGTTTATGTGTTGTACTGTTCAGAAACAATGCACCGTGCTGGAAACCAGGATCCATGTCACAGATCAAGTTTTGCCTGTTTATAATTTACATGATTGTAGGGCTGAGAAGAAGATCAAGCAGGGGCACGGTGACTGCGGAGGAGAAGAAGGTGGCCATGAAATGGCGGGGCTGTTTGGGGTGACGTTGAAGTCCTCCAGTCCAGTACTTATCAGTATTTTTCCTCATATTTCTCCTTAGGGTCACGGGAGGACATATACTAGCGTCCTCCCGTGACCCAAAGCTCAGTATAAGAAAAAGGAAAACTTGCCGCACTCCTTACCGGTACTCCCCAAAAAAGCACGGGTGCTCGAAATGACTGCGGATGGCACTGCCACACGTAGACAAAAGGGAAGACGTCACCAGCACTCCAACAATGATAATAACAGCAATTAGTTGCTCAAATATTGGCAGAAGCTGTCTCTCATTAGCAAGCGCTTTCGGGGCCACACAAGGTCCCCTTCGTCAGGCTCAGAGATCATCTAATTGCTGTTATTATCGTTGTTGGAGTGCTAGTGACGTCTTCCCTTTTGCCAAAGCTCAGAATATCGCAGGCCCGCGATATACTGCGAGCGCCGCAGCCGCGACGGATCCCGACATTACTGTCGAGATCCACCCAGTTGACAGCTGTGCCCTCCCCTGTCCGTTCCTCCACTCAGCGCTGGAGGATGGGAGAGGGGGGGGGGGGGATCCCTGTGGGGAGCAGTGCCCGACAGTCACCACTCACTGCAGGGAGATGTTTTTGCCTAGCATGTTATGCATGTTTTTGCTCTCATTAGACGTGCACACAAATGCGTGCAAAACTACAGAAAAACATGCACAGAAATGTGCATAACGCTTGTGTTGTGCGTTTTCAGGCGTTTCCATTGAAGTCTATGGGGCCAAACATGCTGTAATCTGTCAAGAAGCTTGGTGTACTTTTTTTCCTGCGCTCTGCGTTTTACAGCTTGTGACAAAACATTCGGGTTTGAACAGGGGCCACTGAAATTAACGGGATTCCTTGTGTTGAGAGTTTTGTCGCGCATAGCTTTGAGCGTTAAAATGCTTCGACGTGAACAGGGACTTAAAGTATGCAAAATCTCAGGGCACCCCAGTCTAAACTATGGTTTTAGACTTAGGTGTAAATGTATAAAAAAAGACATGTGGTTCCCCCCTAAAATCTCCATCAGACCTTTATCTTAGATAAGGGTCTGGTATGGAATTTAAGGGGGGATCCATATGCGCAAAAAAAAGAAAAAAATGTGAAGGTCTGGTTCACACCTGCGCGTCACTGGAGCACATACCCCACTCACACGTGTTTGTGCACATTTGTGTGCTGTGTTTGCTCATGTAGTATTTTGCAGGCTTGTGCGTGTTTCCAAGAACACGTGCCAAACGCACACGTATTCGCGTACTTTGTGGTGTGTTCACAGAACGTTCAGGTGTGAACCGGGCCTTAGGAGGCCCCTTCCCATCAGTAGCCCCCCTTTACATCAGAGCCCTCAGTTCCCCTTCACAGCAGTCTTAACATCTAACCTGCACCACAGTTTGGCTGCAGGAGCATGGCAGAGGGGTGAAGACAGAGCTGGGAGATAGACTTCTGTCCTGAATGATGGTGGAGGTCCTGGATGCAGCCACCCTGGATGAGCGTCATGCATGTCCATGGTGCTTGGTGCCCACCATGGAAATGCAGGATACTGTTCAAAAATTTGAAGGCAACCTTGACAAAGCCAGAAGGTGCCCCAGGGTCCCATGGAACCACGGTTGAGGAAAGCTGCTCTAGTCATCCACATGTCAGCGTACAGGACAGGAAGACCTTGCACTAACTTTAGTAGTTGTAAAAGGAGAGAGAAGTTCCTAATTGCAGAAGTTTTGCTTCGTGTCAGCACATTGGGGCTACAAAGTAGAGCGAAGTTTTTAGAAGTGAATAGCAGCCAGATTCCAGCATTCACGCATCAGGAAATGTACTCCTACTTGCCCTCTATCTTTCATATTTGTATTAGTGCCAACCCAAAGTGTAACCCGAAAGCCCAGAATTTTACATATCGGATTTGAAGAGTGGCAGAAAAGTAAAACAAAAATCTGGTCAGGTTTTTATTTCTATTTCCATTTGGGATACTTCCCCTTCCTACCTGTCCCAGTGACCACTGTAAAAGAGACCAGGAGGTTGTCCTAAATGTACCCATCAGGAACGCAGATATCAAATAAAAACCAGATGGAGATTTTGAAATGCTTTATAGTTTTTTTTTTTTTGGGGGGGGGGGGGTTTATGCCTTGTGTACCCTCATCGCATCTCTGTACCTTGTTCATCTCATCTCAATAATAAAATAAAAAAACAGGAAGATAAAGTGGACCTCTGGTGTGCTGGTGGCTTATCCTTCTACATGTTCCAATGGTCCACCGTCTTTTTCCATGGAGAAAAAGCAATAAAAAAAAAAACTTTAAAAAAAATAAAAAGCCTTTCCTGCTCTAATCGAGACTAAAAGGAAAATACTTTGGCTTCCACATAAAAGGATCAAGAAATGTATGGGGAAATCTTAACCGTACAGAACCAATCCAGCTGGTCCATATTTAGAAAAAGGTTTACCATAATCTGTGTCTCCAGTAGATGCAATGGTACACTGCAGTGTAGAAGTAATATTTAGGTTTACGTTTACTCTCTAAATATATAAATCATAGGATATCTGTGTGTATACAAGTCTCAAGTCTATACTAACTTCCCACCTCTATGACCAAGCCCCATCATAATATGGAGGAGCAGGGTCTGGCGGAGGTGCCCGATGTATGAGAATGTCCAGTACAGGATGGAATAAAGTTGGTTGAATGTTAAGAAAAAGGATATGGCGATCTGTATGGTCATGTATGGAATGTACCCTGTTCTACTTTGTAAACCAAGAAAAACTTATCAAACGCAAAAGGATTTGGCATAAGTGGCTGCTTACATTATGAATTTGGTGGTTGGGGAAGAAGTCAGACCCCGCAATCTATTGCACCCATGGCCACCCAGAGCCAGCGGATCGCTTGTATGAGGTCCCGGGATGTGCGCCCCCCCTCCACCGCGGCTCCCCCCCTCCCGCTGGTCGCAGGACTCCGCTGTGCCCGGGACCAGCACAGTGCCTCTGTCACAGGGGATCAGAGGGAGGTCCCTCCGGTCCCCTCTCCGCTGTCAGAATGTGGAACTGATGTATATTACTCTCCAGCTTCAGATGCTGGAGAGAAGCTGATGAAGCAGATCTCTGCTTCATCAGCTTCTTCAGGGGGGTCCTAGGTGACATTAGGGTTCTTGGAGACCCCTGATGTCTCCATAAAGAGGACCTGTCACATATTTTGCTATCACATAAGGGGGTTTCCTTAGCCCCCTATGTGATAGCAATAAAGTTAAGTGGAAAAAAAACAACTTAAGTTTCGCCCCCCAAAAATGTAAAGTTACAATTAACATCTTTTTAATTTTTTTTAAAGTCCCCACCCCTACATACACGCATGCAAACAGGCGTTATGGCACTTATTCCTACAGCTTATCAGAACTGAAAATACACCAAGGTAGAGGTTGGGAAAAGAATGGTAGAATATATGTTTGGGTTAAAGTGAATGTGTTTCATATGAACCAAATCATATTTCAGCTCTTCATTTTCTAATGTTAACACGCTCCCTCACAGTATCACACAGTTGTGGGTGCAGCTATACAGATATCATTGTACACACTATGACGTCAGCTTCACTTCCTCCTTGTAAACATGTACTACAAAGATAGCAGAAGAGAAGGAAGAGGACAATGTCAGAACAAAACCTCCATGACTCAACCTTAGGCAGAGACTCCTGATCCCCTTTACTTGGTCAGCAGTGAGCAGACATACAGAACAGAGGTATAGAAAGACACAGGCAGGGCTCAGAGGAAAGAGACACCCAGGTCCACCATACAGATCAATAAGATGCACTAAGCTAATGATTACAGTGACACTAAACTCAGGAGTAAGGATACATTCAAGTGCCTTAAGGGCTTGTTCACACCAAAAGCAGACCAGATCTGCATGAGTTTCTGCACGTGCAGTGCACTGTGTTCTTCCTCGTTTTTGATGCGTTCCGGACCTTTTTTTTTTTTAGCCTAAAATGGGCTTTCAGTGTGTTCCAGGGCGTTTGCATGCGTTTGCATGCGTTTTTGGGTTCCAGAGCAGGTAAAATAGGGCTTGCTGCAGTTTTTTTACATGCTCTGGAACTGTACACTGCAGTGTGAACTAGAGCCCAAAATACCATTGGAATACATTGGACGCAGTTTTGATCCGGCCTGTAACTGCTCTGCACCTGCTCCGCGCTTGCTGTGAACAAGCTCTTACTATGAATAAAAATGTATCTTATTTGTGTATCACTCGGCTGTAGATCCCCAAATCATCTCTGAATTGGTGCTGACACTGTCCTTCCTTCTGGAGAGTGGCTACTTTAGTTCCCCTTGGTCCCTGTGTGTGTTGTAAAGTAGTCACAGCTCCAAGCTCACTCCTGTCATGGACGACAATCTCAGGTTTAGCTTACTAATTTGCAGTGAGACTGTAATCCATCACAGGAGTGAGCTGGGAGCGGTGACTACTCAGACTCAGTAGATGACGAGAAAGCATGGAGCCGGCATTCTGGCCAGTCAGGAAGCCGGGCACCTTGTAATGACGTGGCGCCCGGCTTCCTGATTGGCTGGGAAGCCGGTTCCATGCTCCCTCGTCATCATTACACGGCGCCCGGCTTCCCGATTGGCCGGGAAGCCGGCTCCATGCTCCCTCGTCACAAGTGCAGCGTGTAATGAGTGGCTGCCCGGTTTCCTGATACCGGAAGGTCGGGTATTGGGCTGGGCATCGGAGCATTTGGGCGAGTATGAGTACTCGCCCAAAAACTCATCATCGGCACAGATACCAGTATTGGTATTGATGCATCCCTAGCGGCTACCCCACTCTGTTTAGTGTGTATGGGGGAATCCTTTAGGCTAGGTTCAGATATCGGTGATTGTGCACGATTGCACGCAGCGATTGCCATGCAGCCCCATTGATTTCAATGGAGTTATATCCGCGCAGCAATTGATGAAAAAAGCTACATGTACTTTTTGCAACACACACCGCGTGGTTTTTGAACCGCGATCATGCGCGATTGCACAGGCATTGTCGCGGCGGGAATCTGTGCGATCTGCCTGGCGCGGCCCGGGTGCCATCCGTGCAGTTTGGTGCAGGATTGCCGTTCGGTCACGGATTGCCCTAATGTGAATCTAGCTTTAGATTTATTTATTTTTCCATGTAGTCTGAAATTGAAATGTCATCTCACAGGGCATGGCCGCCTTTAGTGCAGTCATTACCTGTAAGATCGGATTCTTTCCTCAAATGAATGGTAAACACAGCAAACATCTCCAACCTTTCATACTTTGCAAACCGCAGAAAATAAGAAAGAGGAAGTGTCACCAGGTCATCAGTTCAGCAAGTCAGCATTCAAACAGCCAATAAGGGGACTTTTATTTTGATAACCCCCGAAGGGCCCTTGCACACAGGTGTAACGAAGGCATCCAACAAGAAGACCCATCATCCAGCCTGGTTGCCACAGTGATAAGAATGCGCCACGAGACACATGTATCCTGTGATTACAATCTGCATTAACGTGAATGGCAGCAGTGTGATCTACTGAGCTTTACAATGAAATCTAGCAGGACCCACACATCCTCCGTGTATTACATATTGTATATACTGCAGGCTATAGAACAGGGGTGGACAGCTGTGCTTTAAAGAACTATGGGGTTAGGGCTTTTCCCCCATAGTTCTCCTTAGGGTAACAGGAGGACACAAACTAGCGTCCTCCCGTCACCCTAGGCTCAGTATACTGCAAGCTACAGCTCGTGGTATAAGGAGACGCCGCAGCTGAAACGGATCCCAACAATTATGTCTGGATTCTCACCACAACGGACTGACAATTGTGCATGAAACGGCAACACAGCTGACCTAATGTTTGTGCGTTGTCCCACATTGCCCTGCTACACAAGTGTGCTGAGGGGCCATTAAGAATGAACCACACCAACACGCAGCATGATGACCTGAGGGTCCACAAGACTGCAGAAGCCCGCGGGACTATAATTACATAATTACAGCTTTCAACAGACTTCCTTTTAAAGACCAATGAGGCACATCATGCATTTTGTGAAATTCACAGAGTTTTGCAAGTGTTTACTTCATAGAGTTGAGATGTCTGCAATATTTTTCTTTTAATGAATTGTACATTTCTGGATGCAGGACTTGGTATAGAAAAAGAGTGGATGTTTATTCTCTGGGTTTATTTAAAGAAAAAAATGTTCATTTTCCAATTATATTTTAGAATCCAATAGCGAGATGAGCATACAGTAAACCTGTCAGAGGAAAGAAACACAAAGGCTGCCATGTGTGACCTCTCTTTCTAGTTGGCTGACTGTCATGCTGATCCTTTTCCTTCAGAGCTGTGAGTTACTGACCTTGGGCGAGTATGCAGATAAGGATTTCTGACCTTCCTGATCATCATGTGTTCCAGGGTCCGCATAACAGCCAGAAAAGCTAGCGACCCCAAAAGAAGATGAGCAGTAGCATACCCTGTATTCCAATCATGATGGGATTACATTTGTCACTGACCTAACACAAGCATGATGTCAGAGCGTCTGATCTCCATATTTGTTATGAGTGACTCAGAGTACTAAACCCGGTGAACACAACAGCCAGGCAGCTAGTATTGTCCAGGTGGTCCGCATTGGCAGCTTCTGTACATCCTGTTTTCTTCAGAAACCATCCATAGACTAGACAACCTGTCCCCTGCCAGCATTCTGTACAAAAGGACCGTGCTCTTTATGGAGAAGCAGTGGTCTCTATGCAGAGGCCTGACATGCCCCTCTGTTGAGCCAAAGCTAGAGCGCCACAATCAGCAAGGAGCATGAGCTATGCTGATTGTAAAGCTATAGGCCTGACTCAGCAGAGGAGGGTAGGTCTCTGCGGAGAGACCACTGTTTCCACAGCTCCTGGCAGTGAACAGGCTTTTCTATTCGGTATGGTGGCTGCTCTCTAAAGAGAACGAACTAGAAGAGTCTGCACTTTTTGTTTAGGTGCACATGCAGTGGGATGAACTGGAACCACATAAGATGTTACAAACCCTTAAATCTTCCAGATACAGGGGGGGGTGACGACTCTCCAGACTCCACCTATGGCTACAATATTACAATATTACCTTTTGAGATACCAGACCTATTGAATGTTAACGGAAAGCACAAAGCACTTACCTGTTAAAGAAGTTACTAAGTGGTCCCAATATTTTCTTCTTGCCGTCGGGTCCAGTCTCCTGTGTGAATCCCCTGTTATAAGCATCAGGGCTGTCTTTTGTAGAGTTCAAGGTCACATCTGAAAAACGTGTTTCGTCATTCTCCAAGTTGACGATTGCGCTCGAGTTGCTGGTCACCAAGAAGTCCACAATGTCCTCGTTGCTCACGGATAACGTGGTGGAAAAGTCAGTGCTGAGGCTGGAGATGCTACAGTCAGAGATGTCGTCGCTCCTGTTAAGTGAGGTCGGGCTGTAGAGTTTTGCAGTGTCATATCCCGATCTGGGAAAGGTGGATGACTTCCAGATAACATGGTCACTCTCAGAGTTCCTTAGAGATGGTGTACCACCACCACCACCACCTGGAATGCTCTTGGAGCTCTGAAAGACCCGGTCGTCTCCAGCAGCACCATTCAGACAGTTCGATCTGACACCACAATGAACAGTCTCCGGGTTGGCGATCTCAAGAGTAGGGATACCGGAATCCAAAGACGTCACACTGTTGCTCTCATTGACTGCAGCAAACTGACTGCTGCTAAAATCCGAGAAGGCAATGGATTGAGAATTCTTGCGGCTCGGTTTGCCAAGATTGTGAATGTCGCTGTCAGCGCCGATGTCGTGGACCTCAACAAACCCCAGGATGTTTGCAGGCAATTCCTTATTCATGTTAGACCATGAGGTAACTAGGAACAGAAATCAGAATAAGGCCGGTCAGCATTGTTAAAACACAAATATATTTGAAAAACCTGTAGAGAAAGAAAACGTAACACCGAAGACTGCCAGTGCCAATTGCTATATGAAAATGTTAGTTCTCTGGCCATCATACTGATCCTTTGCCTTTAATACTTTCCGAGACAATGACACAGGACAAGTATGACCACTAAACTCTCAATCTGCATATTCAGTCCTAGTGTGTATAGGATGTGAGGACGCCAAGGGATGTACCATCGATGAACCAGAGGAGGAGACAGGTGGAAGGGACCGGTCTAACAGCAAACCATCTCCAGTAAGCTTATTTGAAAACCTTTCTGCATCAGGATCATTTGAATGAGCACAAAAACCTTAGCGCCTCCTAAAAAGTGTTAATTTGGCCAATATCATCTAACCCAACATTTCTCAACCTTTTTTTACAGCCCACATCATCCCAGATAAGGGTCTGCTATGGACCCCACGCAAAAACACTGTCTCACACTAGGAGCCCCCTTCAAATCAGAGCCCTTTCCTTTCACATCAGAGCCTCCATTTCAAATGCACCCCCCCCCCCCCCCCCTTTATATCAGAGTCCCCACCTTTTCACTTCACTGTTGCCCCTTCACTGCAGAAGCCTGCTTGCACCATGGAAAGATATGACACGGTGTAAACAATTTCAAGGCACCCCCTGAGGAAGCCAGAAAGGCTGATCAAACCCACTTCTTGTAGGCCCCACTCTTGGCCTGAGCAGCGCTCGCACATCATTACATGACCAATACTCAATCCAGAAGGATAACAGCCCACTGCCACTGCCGAGGAAGAAAAGGAAAGACCTGCCTGAAAACGACAGGAAAAAGACACCTGTATATGGCTTCAGAAATACATTTTTTTTAAAAAGGTGATCTAGAGGGGTTCCGCATCATCTGGCACACATAGAAGATGAATAGTAACCATTGCTTTGCCTCTAGCCTAAAATAACAGCAAATAAGAGCCAATGGGTTGCAAAGTCACACTGGTGTCAAATATCCTCTAAAGCCGTGGTTCTCAACTGGTGTGTCGCAACCCATAAGTGGGTCACAACCCTGTGTCTTCCACAGCGCTAGGCGAGAGGTTCCTCAGCCTCCACCTAGCGCAGCACTGTCGGGTCTCGCGCTGAGCAGCCATTCAAAGTGGGGTGGCACCAATACAGTTTTTTTTCGGTATCGAGTACAAGTTCCGATATTTATATTTCTGTACCGAGTACTGATACCGGCACTTCCGCTAGCATGGAGCCGGCTTCCCACGCAATCAAGAAGCCCGGGCGGCGTGTTATTACCGGCAGCTCGGCCTCTTTATTGCCCGGGAAGCTGGTTCCATGCTCCCTCACTGCACTGCTGGTTAGAGGAAATCTCCCTCTGACTGGTAGTTCCAGTATCGGGGGTAAGTATCCGAGCATTCGGGCAAGAACGAGTACTCGCCCAAATACCTAGTATCGGCACCAATATCGATACTAGTATCGGGACATCCCTAATTCAAAGTATGTCGCACGGCACAGAGTGTCAACTTGAGATGTGTTGGACTGGGGATATGGCAGCAAGGGAGCTCCATTCATATGTGCATTGCTTACAGCTCCCTCATGTGCCTTGCCAAGGCCGGCCTTATGCCTTTAGGCGCCCTGTGCGAGAAAGCTTTACAGCGCCCCTCAGTACCCAAACCCATTTTTCCAATATCCACACCATTTAAAGACTCCCATTTTGTTAAGCCCCAAAGAAACATTAAAAAAATAAAAATATCATAAAAATAAAACTTTTATTCAAAAAGGTATTAAACTTGTAGGCACAATTTTGCGCTCCATAAGACGCACTTTTTTCACCCCAAAAGGCGGTGGAAAATGTGTGTGCGTCTTATTCTATTTTAAAAAGGTAAATGTCAGGGGTCTGTTTAGACCTCTAATATTTCCCTGAAGCCCCCCCAACAGTATAATAATAAAAAAAAAAAAAAATTAAAAAAATTTTTTTAAAAAGGGAAAATTACCCCCCCCCCCACACACACACACACGTATTGATAGACATGTGCAAAGACTAAAAATTAATTTCAGATGAAATGAACGGAAACTAAAAACGCTTTCATCCGTTTTATCAAACAAAACACATTTTTATGCTATTTTGGATTCAGCCATTGGCGTGTTCTGGAGGCAGGGCGCATGACGTTGTATGGCACCGCACATGTTGGGCGCCGCCATCTTGGTGTATATCTAGGTATACACCAAGATGGCGGCGCCTAACGTCACCTGACGCCACGCATGCATGGCGTCATGTTCCCCGCCTCCAAGATGGTGGCACGCATTTGCAGAACACGCCAGTGGACAACATTCTCAAACAAATTATTATGTGTCTGAACACATTTTTCGTATATTCGAGCATATAGTAATTCATTTACATGGAGTCTGGGTATTGTGTTCTGTGTTTTTATTTTTACTTTTCTAGATGCACTTACTTGAAAAAAAAGGGATCAGACACGCCCCCGTTTTTTAAAAACAGGCAGCTATGCCTGATACCATACAAGCGA